TCCTTTTATTTTTTTTTTTTTTTTTTTTTTTTTTTTTTTTTTTTTTTTTGAGTCATTACACTTGCCCTTAGTGGAGTTTACCTATAATAATAGGTTCCATTCAAGTATTGGTATGACACTGCTTGAGGCCTTGTATGGCTGACCATCTAGATCCCCTGTGTGTTGGGCCGAAGTAGATAATGCACTAATGTTGGGTCCAGAGTTAGTCCGGAAAACGACGGAGAAAGTTGCTCTTATCCGTAAGAGGTGGGTTACAGTCCAGAGTCTCCAGAAAAGTTATGCTGACCGTAGAAGGAGACCTTTGTATTTTGAGGTAAGAGATCATGTTCTCTTGAAGATATCCCCTAGGCAGGGTTTGATGAGATTTGGGAAGAGTGGGAAGTTGTCCCCTAGATTTATTAGACCTTTTGAGATCCTTGAGTGGATTGGAGAAGTAGCCTATTGCTTGGCCTTGCCACCACAGCTTTCCGGGGTTCATGATGTGCTTCATATTTGTATACTTCAGAAGTATGAGTCGGATCCATCGCATGTGTTGGATTAGACCAACTTAGAGGTAGATGAGGATGCCTCATATGAGGAGAGAATATGTAATGACCCTCATTCTTGTCTTAGTCACGTTCATGTACATCTGCATGATTTTGTCTTGATGAGCTTGTATTTGTAGATTTTGAATTGTTTTGCCTAAGTAAAGGTCCCTGTCTTGTTTTGCGCTTGTGTGATTTACCTGTGTATTACTGATATGCTTTGTTCCTTGCTTGGTGCGTCAAGCCTAGGTCACACCTTTGAACCTCTTACACTTAGGACCATCTTGGAACCACCTTGGTTGACCTCCCCCGTCACCTAGGCATATTGGCCGAGATGTCATCATCTAGGCCGAGATGTGTATCATCTAGGCCGAGATGTTATCATATAGGCGTCCTAGATCTTTGATCCTTGCACTTAGCGATCTTGTTCCGGGACTGGTATGACCTAGAACGAGGTGTGGCACATCTAGGCCGAGGTGTGGCACAGCTAGGTCAAGTGTTATCCTTCCTCGCCGAGATCATTGAGACCTTACTTGTCGAAGCCTATGTCTTGATCCGAGATCCTTGCCTTGTCAGAGTGCCCATGTCATCTTACTTGTTGTACACACTTTGTCATATCCTTGTCTTTTCACTCAGGCACCTTTTTGAGGAAATCCAATTCGGTAGTGCCACGTGTCCCAGCAGAGGGTTAAGTCAGCCGATAGTAGAGAAAACATATCATTTGCTACATCTTTGTCCTAGAAGAGAG